TTTTTGAGAAAATCCGGGTGCAGAACTCCCATCGGATGCGACCCCAGGTAGCGGATAGGGGAAATAACCGCGGACCAAAATTGGAAAAATTCCTTTACTTTGAAACTAAAAGAACTGCCTACCAACTTTTTATTAACATATTTTAGTATGGGCGGCTATACGTGTCTCCCGGCGCCATTTTTTTTAAATACAACCTCAAAAAATGTTTATTTTTTAATTATCCATTTAACAAAGAAATAATAACTGAGTGTTCGCTGTTATTATTTCAAATAAATATGATATAAAAAGTTCCTTGTGGGTTTAAAATTATAGTTTTAATTTACTGCAAATAGTGTTTTCACGAAATTTACAAAAAAAATAATACCGGTTCAATATATAGGTTGGTCAATGATTGGTTTGTTTTGGTTAGGTACGCAAAAAAGGTCTCTTGGTAAAAGTCGGTACGAGCAACTATATACCGTGTGCATCTCGAAAGTGACTCACTTTTGTGTAAAATTATCAAAATTAGTTGAACAAAGAAATGTTGCAGAATACCAAGCTAAGCTTTATAACATTATGTGAGTCTTGCAGCAAGACCAAAACCAAGCTAGTTATGGCATTGACCTTGCATTTGCTCATCACTACTTTTTCAATTTATTGATTGTGTTTACAAGCCCTATTTGTTTCATGTTTCGTTTTCAGTAATCCATTTGATTAAAACTGGATTTTCTGAAAACCAGTTTTAATCATCTGCTGATGATGCTAACATGGTTAACCAGATGCGCGTCCAGTGCGCAAAAAAGGTCTCTTGGTAAAGTGTTTTGGTGTATTGTAATGTCCAGTAAAGTGTTTTGATGTATTGTGGTGAATTAGTGTTTTATTTTGCTGTTCATTGTCAGACTGATCATATAGTCAGGGTGGCGATTACCAGCCGGGCCCCAGTCTACGCGGGCCCCCTGTCTTTGGATCTACATGTAAAATAGTTCATTATTTTATTCTTAAATAGAAATGAAACAGAAAAAAGTGACGGTAATATTCTGAGGCTATGCTTTCTTTTGGATTAACAACATTTACATTTGCATTGCAATTTGGTTTGCATTGCACGACGGGTAGTTCGTTGATTTCAAATACCAGCAACAAATCAATTACTGTTCTCCATTCACGCATTTCAAATTCCAGATCTTTAAGCCTGGGCTACTCGAGAACTGAAACGAGCTGAAACGTTCTGAAAGGAGCTGTGCACGATAGACTGGTGCCTAAACATGTCAATTGTCAAGTTGAAAACATTGTCAAACTTGAAATAGTTAATCCCAAAGGATGTTTTAAGATGGATAAAGTGGATATTGTTTCTTCATATCTCCTTAATTTTTAAATCGGGAACCAAAAAAAGTGGTCAACCGTCAATCATTATTCTTAACCTCACTTAAATAGCTGGGAACTCCGAGTACTAATTTATAGGAAGGTGCTCGAGGGGAAAGGGGATATCGGCGCGGAATAGTTCTGAACTTTATGAGTCAATTGAATGGAGGGAGAGTATCGCGTTCTTGGACAGTTCAGAACTGCACAACTGCGTGAATGGAGGACAGTAAATAGAGAAAAAATGACCAAAAAGTAAGGCGAAAAAACACGCAAAAATTCGAGACGGGCCCCTCCTCATAATGCCATACGGGTCCCCCCGGCCCACTCCGACCTGTTTCTGTTTAACAACCCTCAACTGTAATATTCAGTAATCGGTAACATGTCCATACTATTACAAATTATCTGTAGTACTATGCTTCCTATAAATTGTTAATTATGTGATTAACTTTCCAAAAAAGCTCGGAGTAAGAATGCTGAAGTGTATAATGGTCTGTCGTTCTCAAGATATCGTTCGAGATTTTACTATTCCAGTATTAGTCTAGGCACAATCATTTAAATAATTTTTGTATTATGTCTAAATGCGTAAGTAAATTTACTATAATTAGCTGTAAACAATTTCTTATATTTCTTATCCACTATCTACAGTTTTTAATGTGGTACTAAGTTTAAATTGCGAAAGCATTCTTATTCATATTATTATCATCTCATATCAATATTCATAAAAGCGCTTCCGATTGATAGTCAAGAGTATTTTAGATATGAAATACGTGTTTTTGTATTAAAATTTATATGAGTAAAATTTATTTTAACCTATGTAACTGGTAGTAGAGTATTACAATTATTTTTAATTAGTTGGAAAATATCCCCCTCTGTTTGTTTTTATTACTAATTGTGTTTGGCATTTTTCTGACTTTTTTAAAATTAAACCCTTATAAATTATATTTATTTATTTTGATTTTTAATTACTTGAAGCAAATTTCTTATACATAATAGTATGCTCGATATTATACAATAATTACAAAATGATATTGTTCTGTTTTAGTGTACCTAATAATAAATAGTTATAGTAAAAATGTTATGTTAAAGTAAAAAATGTTAATTCTTGAATTGCTGTTATCAGTCTATTGACAGTAGTCAAGATTTAAACTAGTTTTTCTTATCCTAATGATTAAAAATATTACATTTTGAAATATTGAATGGATTTTGTACTTGATTTGGTTTGGAATCTAACAATACCGGGTGCGTCTCAAAAGTGGCTCACCCCCTATAACTTTTTTATTTTATCAGATAAAAAAATGAGATTTGGTATGTTAGTATGTGACATAAATTAGGATTGATTGACGTATTCAATTCTTTTCGGTCACTTCCTGTTTAACCGGAAATGACTACCACTTTCTATTTTTAAATGAGACCGACGGTATTTTTTTACTTTATTCGATAGAAAATGACATTCTGAATAGAATGACATATCATTCGTCAACTTTTGACATTTTGGCTTAATACAAAATTGAATTTTAAATTTCCATATAGAGTGCCATGGCTGTGTTAAAAACACTAATTTTTAATCAAGAAGCCTTGGAAAAATATATTTGATCGTCTAATGTTATTCGTGTCTTGTCCTGGCCGGTTAAAAGATGCCCTAATCGTATTTTTAATCATATCTCAATTTTTTCAAATGGAACGAGGGTAGCAGCTCATTAGCATATTTGGAAAAAGTATTTTTTTACGAATAATTTGGTGCTACACACTTTCGAGTTAAATTGTCGTTATGATCCGCATGTTACAATTTCAAATAACCCATATTCTAAAATGTCAAAAGTTGACATATGATATGTCATTCTATTCAGAGTGTCATTTTCTATCGAATAAAGCAATAAAACACCGAGGGTACCATTTAAAAATCAAAAGTTGTAGTCATTTCCGGTGAAACAGGAAGTGACAGAAAACAATTGAATACGTCAATCAATCATAATTTATGTCATATTATATTAATATACCAAATCACGATTTTTTATCTGAAAAAATATAAAAGTTATAGGGGTGAGCCTCTTTTGAGACGCACCCGGTATTTTTATATAGGTACATACATTAAAGATGGAGGCCATAGCAGCGTTGCTAGAGCGTTAACCAAAAATGTAATAACTAATCTTATGAAATTGTCAAGAATTTGAAGAAAATGTAATTATTTTAATTTAATATATTTATTAAAGGAAATTAAGCTTTCAAATGAATATTATAACTTTTTATCACTAAATTGGTATTAAATGGATTTTAGCATATATTTCGGAACGGACCCATGAGTAGTGATGTTAATATTTCGGAAACTTTTGATTGTTGCAGGAAATTTCTGAAACTTTCGGAAATTTATACATACTTTACATATTTTTTGTTGATACAATGAATAAATTAGATAGACATTTGATACCAACTTGTAAGTGGAAAAAAAAACAATAAACATAATATTAGTTGTTATATTTTTTAAAAAAATAAACAATACATAACTCCTAAAAGTCATAAACATAACATATAACAAAAATTATTTGGTAACATTTGTACTTTGTACATAAACCATGAACTATGACTATGAACTTAAAAAAAAACAAAAAAGCACGAAATATAAATTTAAAAAACGTAAAACACAAATAACTGAATTATTCTATTCCGGAATACTTTCAGGCGCCGAGCTGGTCCCATCTTCATAGGGTATTATAGTAGTAGTAGTAATAGTACTGTCTTCGTCAGTTTTTATTTCCAAATCAGGTATATTTGATGTATCATCTGGTTCTGATTCTATAGGATGAACCTCTATCTCTACGGATTCTAGTGGTTCTGGAGGAGTTTCATGTTGTTGCATATCATGTTCCATATCCACTTTTTGTTTGTGTAGTAATAATTTATTGTTATGAGCTACGAACATTATTTTGCCGGCTCTTTGTGCAGTTAAGCGATTCCTTTTTTAGTATGGATAAAACTGTAAGTACTGAAACTTCTCTCACTGGCTGCAGATGACGTTGGTAAAGACAGCAGAGCAACAGCTAAATATTTCAACTGAGTATTTTTACATATTGCTTGCCACCAACTTAGACAGTCTACATTTTTAACTGACATCCAAACGTAGTCGAGAGCCCATAAACCCGATTTGGCGCAATAATTTGTTACATCTGTAAAAATGGCTTCGTTATTATTGACAAACTGAGGATGTTTGTTGGTGATATTGTTGATAAATTCCATAGCGGCTATGTGTTCTTCATTGTTAAGGTGCTCTCGCAGGAAACAGAGGGGGCCAAGAGATTCGCGGCAAAATGCATTATTTTAAGAGCCATACGTTTTTTATTTTGTAAGGCGGAGAAGCATTCTTTTTCTTCTGATTTAAGAATAGGCATACTTGATAAAGCTCAAGAACCTGACTTACTACATTAAAAAGCGAATATCTAGTTAGATACGCAAAGCTAATGTAAATTATCCTAAGTCGATTGGCTGTCTCGTGAACATTATTCGAAATATTTAGTCATATTTCTTCTGAATACCATTTTGCAAGCGGTGATATTTTTTAGGTAATATAATCTATAATGTTCACTGTAACTGTGAATATACTATATATTGTGTTAATTAGTTTTATTTATACTATATTTTATATAATATATATTTTTTTATAATTTCAGATTCCAGTAGTAATAGAATTGTGGTGAAGAATCCAATTGTCGAGATGGACGGAGATGAAATGACTAGAATAATATGGCAGAAAATTAAGGAATCCCTAATTTTCCCTTATTTAAAGATTGAATGTTTGTATTACGACTTAGGTTTGCCATACAGGTAATCTTCAAAATACAATTTAAATATTATTTCTGTTCTGATATATGTTTTATTACTTTAGAGATCAAACGAATGATCAAGTGACTGTCGATGCTGCCAACGCCATCTTAAAACATAATGTCGGTATTAAATGTGCTACAATTACTCCTGATGAAGCCAGAGTTAAAGGTAAAATTTATAGTACATTGTTACACGTATATTGTTCATATCTATATAGTCCAAGATCCCAGAGCGAATCTGTATTTGTCTTACTTTATTAAAGGATTAATAAGCTCATCTCAAAGAGCTTTTTTACTTTCTATTACGGAATTGCATATATTGCTCGTACAAGTCAAAAACAAGAATAATGGCAGTCTGTGAAGATGTTTTATTTTATATATTACGATTATTTTTTTGGTTTCAGAGTTTAACCTGAAAAAGATGTGGTTGTCTCCTAACGGAACTATCCGTAACATCCTTGGCGGTACAGTATTTAGAGAACCAATTTTGTGCAAAAACATTCCGAAACTTGTACCTGGTTGGACTGAACCTATTTGTATAGGGCGTCATGCACATGGTGATCAATACAAAGCAGTTGATTTAGTTATTGATAAGCCTGGAACGGTAAGAAAAAAGATGTATTATTTAACTATAATCTCTCTAGGGAAAAAATTATATTATATTAATGAAAGTTATATTTCATTTTAATTTAAAAATTAATTGTATTTCCTGATTTTTTTGTATCAATTCGTTTGTTCAACGCTGCGCATGACATGATATATAAAACCTGTAAATTTGATCAAATTAATTTAAAATTCAGCAGATTTTTCCAAAATCGCTGGTACATTTTTCCAAATTACTTTACGACGATTTATATTTTCTCTGCCAGTTTTTCATACTAAAAACATTAGTAGCCGAAACAAAAAATACAATTATCAACTTTTAATTTTTAATATAGAAATGAATATTTATAATGTATGTTTTAAGTTCTTCATTTATCTTATATCAGAATCCTATAGGCTTGGTGCATTCTCCGCCATAACTGCCACCATCAGAGAATACTGTAATCAGCGGAACTAAACAAATACACGGGTTTAAATAGCGAATACACATAATACTAGCTAATAATAGCGAATATAATCAAAATTCTAAAAATATATATAAAAGTAAAAAAGTAAATATTTTGATATCTTGAGAGGATCTAAGTTAATCTATCTATAATTTATTTATAAAAAGAGAATAAATTATAATAGATAAGATCTATTATAATTTATTATTCAAGCTAATAAAACTTTTTAGATGAGTACAACTACGGTAGCGAGCATAGTTTTACGCACCGGTTTTGTTAGTGGGGACATAACTGGGGCTATTTCGGCTATAACGAATTTTTTTAAAGATACATAATTATAATTTTAGAGGATGTTTTTAAAAAAAATTAAGCACTAATTGATTATTAAAAAAACTATACCATTAATATTAACAAATTAAATTTTATCCTCTCATAATTATTTCTTCTTCTGTGCTCATAGTATATGCTTATTTATTTTTTTATTATCTAATTGGCACTATGTTTACTCACGTCGTTGATTGAAGAAATAAGAAGATGCGCAATCTTATGGGCTATTTCATGGCACAAAGCCTGTCCAAGATGTATCTGGCGCTATGATCTGGCGTTACCGTCACGCTTGAGCACAGCTAACTGAGCGACTTATGCAAATTCCTTCAGAAGATTTATATACCCATTTCACCGGCTTGGCACAGAATACAGTTTGGAGTCGATATTCTTAGTTAATATATATATATATATATATATATATATATATATATATATATATATATATATATATATATATATATATATATATATATATATATATATATATATATATATATATACCGTATGATCGAATAAAAACGGCGTCAACGATGGCTATGAAATGAAGATCGCTGTCATTTTATATGTAAAATTATATGGGAAATGTCATCGATCGTCATTTCCAAGCCAACTGGACGCCGTTTTTTTTCGATCATACGGTATATACGCCGTCAGTCTATCCCATAGCTCTGCGCCCCTGCGCGCTGATAGTCGTTTACAGTGCAGCGGATAAAGAATACTGTATCGTAGTTCTGCTTTCAGTCGACAGAGTGAGTGGCTGCCGGAGACAGTATTGCCAGAACTACTGATTAATCCGTAGATTTACGTAGTAATACGTTAATAAAACGGATTTTTTTTTCATTAAACAATTTAATATAATATATGATTAAACAAAGAACGGCGCCAGAGTTGGCTTGGAAATGAAGATTTTTGTTATTTCATATGTAAAATATTATGGTACATGCGTCGTCAGTTTCTTGTAAATTCTTTAGAAACTTACGATAAATAATAACTGTTTAAATAACCGAGATACAAAACATCCTTAACATGGCATCTTTGCTTTGGTTTCATAAAAAAGTAGCAAGCTATTGCAAAAATCGTTTTTTCTATGTCCGCTCATAAACAAGAAACACCATAAAAAATACCCATTAATCTTACAAAATACACTTTAATCAAAACTTTATAAGGTTTTTTTATAGGTAGAAATAGTGTACACTCCAGATAACGGCGAAAAACGCACTCATCTACTTTATAAGTATAAAGGACCTGGTGTAGCTATGGGAATGTACAATTTGGATGCTAGCATCGAAGGTTTCGCCCGTTCATCATTCCAGATGGCTCTTCAGAAACGCTGGCCATTGTATTTGTCGACCAAGAATACTATATTGAAAAAATACGATGGAAGATTTAAAGACATATTTCAAGAAATTTATGAAAAGTAAGTTCTTATTGATTTTCTCTCTTAATATAGAACAAAATGCGTAAATAGATTATTGTATGTACGTGTGTGTATTATAATATTTATATAATAATCTACATATCATTTTAAAAAATAAACAACTGTAATACACGCTTAAAAGTTTTATCGCAAACCTGAATAAAAATAATTTGTTATTTTATGTAAAAAACGGTATTATCAATTGACAAAGATATTTATCGCCCAAAATGGCAAAGAGCCATAAATAAAGGCGACTGCTTTTTTTAGCTCAATTTTTGCTTTGGTTTTAGAGAATATAAATCCAAATTTGAAGCTCAGAAGATTTGGTATGAACATAGATTAATTGATGATCAAGTAGCCCAAGCCTTGAAGTCTTCAGGTAATTTAATTTGAAGTTTTATGCAAAAGTAATATATAATAATACATTTTTTAAATTCACAATACCCCAATATGGGGACTTAACAGTTCTTTAAAATTTTTATATATTTATTTTAACATTTGTTTTATGAATTCCTTATTACATCTGACGAATAGGTTAATTAGGATAAAATGTTTTGTACAATCTGACTAGTATTCATTAGGCATCTTGAAAGAATGACTGAAAACAAGCGGTCTTTAGCAGAAATGTATCATCATATAATGTGTAATTATATAAGAGTTTTTTGCCTTGAACTGCTAATATAGAAATTAATTCCACGCTGTGTGCGTCATAATGTGGATCAACCTGCTCTCACTACCGGTTTCGGGGCCCTACCCCATCATCAGGTGAGCTTGGGTATTTCCACAAAATGATGAGCACAGCGCAGAGTATATAAATACGACTTGTCATAAAGTAGCGGTAAGATATTAAGTCCCGCATCGGAAGATAGCGGCCTGCGTGCAATGGTAGTACTTTCGTACCACCGAGGCACAACTATCGATAGTAAATAAAGGCTTTTTTCGGTTAGCCCAAAATATATATTGGAAAATACATTTCTTGCAGTTTTTAGGTATATAATTTATTTTTAGAAATTTATTTTCCATTATAATGTGTAATAATATGCCTAATTCTGATTAGGCATTTTGCAAAGCAACTGGAAGAGATGAGCGCTTTGTAAAATTGTCAGCTTTTGTTTAAAATGCCGGCGTTTTATATTATGCCAAGTCTTTTTGCGACATATAGTATACTGAAACTGAAGCTTACATAAAAACTCTACTTATGCGCCTAGTTCTATCAAACATTAGAGTACTGCGCAGACAGAAGCTCTTAGATTGAAACTTAGAAATGTTTATTATTCGTTTACTAATAGTTGACTATTTCTAGGTGGTTTTGTTTGGGCGTGCAAAAACTATGACGGTGACGTTCAGTCTGATATTGTAGCCCAAGGTTATGGTTCTTTAGGTATGATGACATCAGTGCTCATGTGTCCTGACGGTAAAACCATCGAAGCGGAAGCTGCTCACGGCACTGTCACTAGACATTACAGGTATTTATCATTATTTAATTTTAGGATACAATTTACAAAGTATGATTTAAATAATTAATGATAATTTATCATCATCGTTTAAAGTAAAATCATCATATACAGGGTGACACACCTCATTCGCCTCGGTTGATTATACGAAAACGGAAAGATGTAGAAACAAAATATTTTAAGGGTATATGTGGCAACGCAATGTGCATAATTTAAAATTATTTTGAAATATACAGGGTATGTCAAAACTAAGATCCACACCAAAGTTATATTTTTTCTTATGGAACACCCGGTGTTTTATGTCATATTTGGATCCGTGGACACAAAATAAGGCATAAAAATAAGGGTTAAATATGTTTATAAGCTTTGGTTTTTGAGATATTTAAATATGCATGCTATAATAAAAAAGATTGTCAACACCCTGTACATTGCTTTTAGAATTAATTCTTGTACCAAACCAAACCAAGCCAAAGAAATAAACTTTACTGAAAAATTTGATTGCTTCGTTTAATGTATACAGGGGTATCAAAAATTGCTGGTCTATTTTAAATATTTATTTTACATAAAAACTTTATTATTTCAAACACAACCCCCTATATTTTTTTAAAATAAATCGAAACATATTCAAATGCTCTTTCAAACTATATTAAGATTTGCTATGCCTATCTAGCTCAGATTTTGAATAAAGAGCAGTTTTTCAATAAAACGGCAATCAAGAGAGCTTGTGTCGTCATGGTAAGTTTCTAGTGACAGTTTTTTCTAATAGATATTTTCAAAATCAAAATTAGTTTATGAACTTCTTCGAATTTATACCAGTTTACTTTTATTTAATTTACCTACAATAGTTTAATAAATAATATTTATTAAATATGTATTTATTATTTCATCAAGAATAACGAAGAAGTAGTTCTTAGATTTATTTTACGATCGCTTGTAGATATATGGATTTTGTATAAAAGAACCAATTACGGCAAATTCATTTTTTTCACTTCCGCACAGGTTTCTGCCTAATAAGTTTTTTATAAACCAAACTACCAGCTGTGCGAAATAGGACAAGTAGTTTTTCAAAGTAACGCTTATGAGGAAGATTCCTATTTGCACATCTTTGAGCATAAGCCATTGAGGCTAAGAAGCAATTTTCCTCGCAAAATAAAATGACTAGTAACATATCCATTCGTTCCGCCAACAGATACTGCTTTATTTTTCTTGATAAAATAATGAATACCTACTTATTACACTATTGTATGTAAATTTAAGTAAACTGTTATAAATTGCAAATAATAATGTCCATAAACTAATGTTGATTTTGAAAATTTTTATGGTCACTAGAAAATTGCCATGGCAACACCAGTTATCTTGATTGCCAGGTTTTATTTAAAAATCGTTGTTTATTCAAAATCTGAGCTAGATAGGTATAGGAAATCCTAATATTGTTTGAAAGAGCCTTTTGAATCTGCTTCGATTTATTTTAAAAAATACAGGGTATTGCATTTGAAATAACGAAGTTTTTATATAAAATATCCTTAAAATAGATCAGCATTTTTTGGTACTCCTGTATAAATTTAAAGAGGCAATAATCTTTTTCAGTAAAGTTTGTTTCTCTACCTTTAAACTCAGCACAAGAATTAATTCTGAAAAGTAATGTGTACAGGTTGTTAATCTACTTTACTGTAGCATGCATATTTAAATATCTTTAAATATCTCAAAAACCAAAGATTTTAAACACATTTAACCCTTATAATAAATCCCTTTTTATGGGCCCAAGAATTCAAAAATGAAATAAAATACCAGATGTTCCATAAGAAAAAAATATAACTTTGGTATGGATCTTAGTTCTGAAACACTCTGTATTTTTCAAAATAATTTAAAATTGTGCACATTGCCTCCCCACATGTACCCATAAAATATTTTATTTCTACATCTTTCCGTTTTCGTATAATCAACCGAGACGAATGAGGTGCGCCACCCTCTATAATAGTGAAAAAAGACACTATAATAAGCGTTTTCAAAAAGAGGACTTTCTATCAAGAATAATAAATTTGGTGTATTATATTATAGAATACTTATTATCGTTTATTCTAGGATGCATCAGCAAGGGAAACCAACATCCACCAACCCAATAGCTTCAATTTTCGCATGGACCAGAGGTATCGAACACAGAGGTAAATTGGACGACACCCCCGATGTTGTTAAATTTGCCCAACGTCTCGAAAAGGCATGCGTTGATACCGTAGAAAGCGGAAAATATACTAAAGATTTGGCAGCCTCTATTGCGGGAGGATTCGATAAAGTTAAAGATGGTATGTTCCTAAATACTCAAGACTTCTTGGATGCCATTGCTGAACAATTGAAACGGACGTAAAACGGTCAGTGGAAAACGGAATTAAGATAATTAATGACTGAAACATGTGCTTCAAACATACAGAAGATAGAGAATCACATCATTTTTCCTAAATATATTTTTACAATATTCACATACTTTTCTTTAGTTGTCTAGGCGATAACCGATCTTTTTGTTACTATTTGTTACGTAATTGAATATATATTTTTTAAGAAATGTGCTTTATTATTGTTATCCTTTATTTATTTCATTTTTAAAGTAGGTAAGTCTATTTACTTTATAAACGATTTCTGTTTTAGTTCCGTGAGATATAAAAGAAACTTAGAAACAAATAGAATCCTGTCATAAATAATCGATTTGATTTAATCTTGTTCTAACGTTGCCCGTCTTGTTTCCCAAGCTTCTTTTTTTATTACTATTATTATACTCACACTATATTGAGCTGCAATTAAAAATGTATCCATGGATGGGATATGCATTTGATTTTTCTGGTGACTTTATTCTGAACATCAATGCCTTCTAGTAGCAGGAAAAACTCCATATTCTACGAGTATTACTAGAACCTTTTTGAAGTCATATAGCAGCAGTGTTTGGTGTTGGGCATTTACAACTTCTATTTATTACTGAGAATTCAGATAATTTGGAATTGTAAATGTATATAAATCTACTGAGTGAAAAAATGTACATTTCCGTGATTTTATACTTAACAAATGAGTATAATAGATAGTTATTTGACTGAAATGAATTGTTACAGTTGAGGGTTGGAACCTTTGGTGTTACACAGCAAAATAAAAACACTAAATCACCACAATACACCAAAAACACTTTTACTTTTACACTGGATGAATATAAACTGTTTATAATCATCTGCTGACGATGCTAAAATGGTTAGCGAAACGCGCGTCCTGTGTAAAAGTAAAAGTGTTTTTGGTGCATTGTGGTGATTTAGTGTTTTTATTTTGCTGAAATTAATTGGTTCAATAAATAAATTTTTCTTCGAAAAAATTATGATGAAACAGTTTTTGTTAAACTTTTAGCACAAAAACATTTCAAATTTATGATTTCAGTCTAATAACTATTTAGTCACAACATGTTTAATTTATATGTCAATGATGGCGGGTATTGATTATTTCGATTCCAAATATCTCGAGAACCATTATTCGTAGCGATTTTTACCAAGAGACCTTTTTTACGTAAAAAACATCGTAAATGTATCGTACTTTTTTACTCAGTAGTTTTATACAGGTACGGTCGAAAAGTTATTACCCTTCAAACCAGTTAGAAAATATGTTGGTGGCGCTCTCTACAAGTAGGAGTCATATTGGCATCAAAATCAATGTCAACTCAATTTTTCATGTTAAAAAACTCTCAGGCATCAATTTTAATCCAAATATTGACGTTAGTTCAGAAATTATTTGAAAAAGTCGAAATAAAAATGAAACTTCTACACCCAGTATTTCCTAAACTAAGCATTTTAGGACATACATTTATACGAACTTATAGAAGTTACGAACTTATTTTTATCTGCAGAATATGCTGCCGAAGTTTGCGGAATACAGTTCGGACCACTGTATAAAGGGCCTGAGGTTGTCTAAAATCATAAAACTCCGTACCCTAAAGGTAAGCGCACATTCATCGGAAGCGGACGGACGTAGCGCATTTTTAAAGCCCAGACGCAAATTTATCGGCAGCAGACGGACAGAGCGCATTGGAACCATCGGATATTTTTCCTGAAATCAGTTTGAATAATGGATTCCTCTGACGAGGAACTGTTTGTAGTGCTAGAACTGGAATCGGAATCCGAGAAAAAAAGGAAAAGAAAAATATGGGTTCACGAAATTAATTTAAAAAGAAGTGTTTGTGGTGAATACAGTCATTTATTTAATGATTTGCTGGTCGCTTTCCATTTCTGCACGACCGGCTATGTCAAATATATGTATCGTTCACGATATACTGACCACCAATGTGTTTTTACTCAAAATTCGTATCAAAATTATGCTATTTTAATTGCTTTTCCATCGGCAAGTCAGGGGCGTAGATAGGTGTATGCTATGGGGGTGGTACTATGATAAGTCGCAAAAAAAATCACCGTCGGAATTTTTTTGTCGAATTAAAACGACGGCGATTTTTTTGTCTTCAAAAAGATATAAAAACATAACACAAAAATTAAAATATAGATTTGTAAATAACATAAACAAAAATGAAACAACGACGTTTATTAGTTAATTTTCTATAAACTATAAATAAAAAACTGTAAACTATCAAAAAACTATAAAAACTATAAACTATAAATAAAACTACAAAACAAAAATCAAGTTTTCTAGTACGTTGTTTGGAAAACCTATCAATAACAGCATCAACATTTTTTTCAATATCTTTATGGATATTGATTAGAGTTAACCCCACTAATCTGTCCTGGTTAATAAGAACACTTTGTGTGCTTTTAATTAGGTCGAACATATTATAAACGATAAATCAACATAATTAAAAGCATACAAAGTGTTCTTATATGTCGGATATTAATTAAAAAAAATCCTTTCATAGTCAATGACTATTTCAATTCTCGTATCTCGTCAAGCGTCAGGGGGGGTACTGTCCCCCAGTACCCCCCCTTATCTACGCCCTTGCGGCAAGTTCCGTCTCGTATCGCACACTTGTCGTCACCGGTACGCAGCGGACGCAGAGTACGGATTTAAATTACAACCGGGCGAATTTTTAGAAATGCTCTCCGTCCGATGCGTACCGATGCCGACTAGTGTGTTTTGCCCCGTTTAAATTTATGCTAGTAATATTTTTCCGCTACGTGCCGTCCGTCCGCTTCCGATGAATGCGCGCTTACCTTAAGGCAGCATCTCATAATGAAATGTGTGTTTTCCTATGTGCAATTAGGAGTTCAACACTTGTTAAAAGAGTCCGCCATCCTAGATCAGCAATTTCCTCTATAGTACTGAGGTTAGTAGGTTCCCCTTGCGGCATTTACTGAGATGACGCCAACTACGTTTTCATTCTACCATTTGCGGATGAGTGTTACAATCTTACAGCCTAGAATCCATACCTGAGATTGTTATTGATGTACTCCTTGAGTATAATTAATGGTGAATCTTGTTTGGTGAATATTGGAGACTGAAGAATATCGTGAAGCTACCAGCCAACCCAATTTTGTAAATGGCAATGTCATTTGGGGGTATAGACTCTCTCTCGGCATTCTCTGCCTGTCGGAGAAAACCATAAACAGCCGACTTAAATAAATACAAATAAGAATTACGTATATACATTCAGGCTGAGTCTTAAATAAGTGCAAATATTTAAAAATCAAATCTTCAATTTTTTTTCGAGAAAAAAACCTTAAAATTTGATTTTTAAATATTTGCACTTATTTAAGACTCAGCCTGTATGTATATACGTAATTCTTATTTGTATTTATTTAAGTCGGCTGTTTATGGTTTTCTCCGACAGGCAGAGAATGCCGAGAGAGAGTCTATACCCCCAAATGACATTGCCATTTACAAAATTGGGTTGGCTGGTAGCTTCACGATATTCTTCAGTCTATTTGGAATCTTTTTTAGTTTTTTAGGTAAAAACATAATATCTTCATAATGTGGCAACCAATGTAGGTAGTAGATTAAATTTACACGAAAAAAAAAACAAAAAGAGATCCAGTGGTTCTCAAAATTTAAGCAAAAAATCATTTTTTTGGAAATTTTCAAAGTAAAATTACTCGATTATTTTGGACTTGAAAAACCGTATAGAGAAAATATGTTTCTTTTATCGAGATCTACCAGCCCTAACAATATTTTCACTTATTTAAGACTCACTCTGTATATTTATTATTCTAAAAGTGTTAGGAAGCATAATTGGTGAAAATTCTAAAAAAAATAAAAAGATAAATATTTTGATATCTTCAGAAGGTCTAACCTGTATTATAAGTTGTTAAGTATTGAAGCTAATAAAACTTTTTAAATGAGTCAACTACGGTAGCGAGGATAGTTTTACGCACCGGTTTTGCTAGTGGTGACACAACTGCGGCTATTTGGGCTGTAACGAAAAAAATAGTGCCTACTGAAAAATGTAAAATTTATGCAAATTTCTTAGAATAATCTTTCATATTATGTCCAAAATTATACTCATTATCGATGAATCCCATGAATTACTGTAGGTACCTATGCATCTATGCACAACGAACAAAAAATATCTGTTCATTTATTACACAAATGTATTAAAGTCGATTAATCTGGTTTTCTACAAAGATATCATAATAAATGTTTTTGTATTCTGAAGATTGCGTTTGAATGTCGTGAATCGTGAAGACAATAAATAAGCATTTATCTTTATTGTTAAATTCCGCAGCTTTATCGCTCTTCGATTAATGATTTGCCAGAGCCAAGACCTCCATTATCTTATCCAGCAGTAATAGCTAACACTGCTCACTTATTTTGGTAGAAATATACGACGTAAGACGTTTATGAAAATTGAACAAAGACCGGTCAAAAAATGCGAGAATTAGTGTGCGTGAAAGATTTTGAAGACTACGCTTACAAAGTGCTACCTAGAAACGCTTTGGACTATTACAGGAGTGGTGCGGGCAGGGAAGAGACATTAAAAGAAAACAGAAGAGCTTTTTCAAGGTATGTACTTATTTGTCGAGTTTTATTGATATTCGACATGCTTAGCACTTAATACTCTGCCATATGTCTTTTTAAAAAAAACAATATTTCTTTAATGAATTATTTTTCTTCTCAATTGTTGTTCTGTAGGCCAGTCAAATAGGATTTATTCAAGAGATTACTTGGAAAAAAGTGTTGGAAAGCGAATTATTGTTTTTATTACGAAACAAATTAAACTATAAAGCCACTGCCATGTTTCACTCTGTATTTAGCGCTTCAAGACCATAGTTATTTATTTCCCCTATACAAATTGGACTGGGTGCATTGCTGTGCACTATGTGGGCATATTTGAAGTGAAACTTCTTATTAACAGCTATTAAATTAAAGGATTTTAAGGACATATTCGAAAGAGTGTAGTTTGAAATACTGAAAAAGGAATAAATTAAAAATTAATAAATAATTTGATTCTCTTTCACAAAATTTGTATTAAAATGACCGTCTGTCCGTCTGAGGATTCTATTCGGGTCTCCTTATCCATGTACCGAGTTTGGTTCCAATCGACCCATAATTAAGAAAAATCCTAATGATTTCGTCCGTTTAGAGGTATCGGTTCGAAACTTCGAGGGCGTCATCCTGTAGCCCGTCCACAATTTTGCCGAAATCTGACCCACATTTTTCTTCAATATCAAATCCGTAGTCCCACCCTGATGAAGATGTAAACGAAACGTCGATCCAACTTTGCAGGGTGGGACCGTGTGCATTATCGTTCACGTAGCCCAGCTACTTACCAAATTTGGTCGCGATCGTACGACATCAACTTTTGACGTTTCTTACGTCAAAACTAACTGTCACAGTGACACGTGTCCTACACGGTCGAGTTGGCCTTGGTCCAATCTATCGACATTTTTTCGCCATTGATGATTTTTATATTGCACGAAACGTCGTCAAAATATCATAAAAAGATAGATTATCTACATTCCGAGTTTCATTCCCCTAGCAGTTACGATGCTCCCAAGACCCATCCCAACTTCCTAATTAGCTTACCACTTTTTCGATCGTTATCACTTTTCGTGACGCGTGTCGTGACGCTAGCTCGTGTGCCACGGCCTTGAATTTTTAATCCCAGCGCGCGTAAAGAAGTTTCACTTCAAAAATCAGTCAGTCAAGAAGGTCCAGGACGTTCTGATAAGCCTAGCATATACTCATGACTTAACGTGGTTTGGTTTGGTATGTATCATGTACTCAAACAGCCTCCTTACAACTACCTGGCAGACTTGTTTGTCAGTTGAAAAGAGCAAGGCGACAGGTCAAAACTTTTGTTACTTTTGGTTAGTTGCTATATTTCAAGACTCGGGACATAGTAGCTTGTAGCTTTATTCTACAATCTAAATTCTAAAAATTCTTTATTATACAATCTTAAAAAGTGGTATAATACCACTTTTTAAGATACATATATCATAGAGGGGTATAGAAGGCATACAAGCTATTTTCTTGGCATGTACTTGATCAAATTTCAAATTTAGCATACACTTTAACTTTAAACCCACAATTTGTTGCTCTGTAACAATCGTTGTATTATTTAGTTAAAATGGTGTTTTCCATGTGACGGACGATTTAATGTCACTTTAATGCTTTTTCAGCCAAGTGACTAACAGTGGCTAAATATCATCGTTCCTCAACATTCGATTTTAGCCAGACTACTGAAACAGATTGAATATGGTACTCGTTCGACGTAGAATTTAAGTTTCTTTTATTTGCGTTATAGTCGAAGTTCTAGCGAAATGTTTGCTAAAACGGAATATTTTGAAACTATAAACAAAAACCCGAAAAAAATCCAATAATTTCGCCATTTTTTGGGCTTCCTGACGCGAGCGGCGCGGCGTTCGAGCCACCGTGCAAACCAAACACATCGCGTGAAATTAATCAATCAAAACAAATTAGCCTTCCAACATTTTTTTCTAATTGAAACATTGTCTACAACATTCAAAATATTTCTTTCTAAATTACCCTTCTAATTTGATTGGCCTGATGTGTACTGTTTATACCACTTATCCGGCCAGATGATGGAGTATATTGTTGTATAAACATGAATTTATATTGGGTTTATGAAAATTTTGTAATAAACTTAAAACCACTGTCATGAAAGACATGTGCAAAATACAACATCTAGAAAAATACTTTAATAATAATATTTGGGTAACAAGTGGGATACCTAAGAAATTATATCGATTCGATATCCAAAACATCTGAATACACAATCTACTTTTAAAATAAAATTGCATACTTTTGTTGAATATCTAGATTTAAAATTGATACATTTTATATTTCAAAACTTGTTGTTAAATAAATGCAAGTCGGTGGGCGTAATCATACAGGTTCTCTGATATATTACTTAACCCGATCAACAATCGCCAATTTTATCTTTGACATTCGGCAATATATAAACTGTTTTATATATGGAATATTTTTTCATTTATGTTAATACAATATTAAAAACAACAGCTATAAGATATTGTTTCACAATCTTCCTTTCATTAATCTATGTGTTTTATCAATTAACTCTGACATAAAAAAAATAAATAAAATATTCCGGATCACATATCCGTCTACAATTCAAAATCTAAGAGTAAATTTTTAGAAACTTTATTTTTTTTATGTATATGATTATGATCTTATACATACGAAGTGGTTAAATGTTGTGAACGTAACAATTGGTAAACACAGGCTCGAGTACTCGATTATTGAAATAACCGACATCGCTCGATTATGAACAAGCGACGAACGCATGCAATATTTTATCAGTATTTTTGGTAAAATATCTTCAAACAACAGATTGTTCTTTTGATTGGGACCATATTGTTATAGGACTATACCACGTTATCTGTAACTGTATGATAAAATTTTACCACCTACATCGCCAAGGCTTCGATGAACGATCAAGCGAAACTACTCATCGCTCGTCGCTTGTAGTTTGCCATCACCGAAAGAATATGCGCTCTGCGCACGCAGCTTACTACTTGGCGTTACGAGTACAAGTACAAGCGACGGCGACGGCGAAAACCGTATATTTAAATACGAGCGAAATTTCGCTCGAGTGATCGCTTGATTATTGAAATCGCTTGAAACTCGAGTACTCGATTATTTAAATTCATTGGTTTTCCCATCACTGGTCATCTGACACGACCTCTCCTCATTTATTATTCCAGTTAAAAAACTTTTTAGATGAGTTCAACTACGGTAGCGAGCATAGTTTTAATCATCGGTTTTTGCTAATGGGGCATAATTGGGGCTATTTCGGCTATAACGAAATTTTTTAAAGGTACATAATTTTAATTTTAGAGATGTTCATAAAACATATAATCAGTAGCTGATTAAAAAGAGTATACTTTTAATATTGCAAATTATATTTTATCCTCCCATAGTATGTCTATTTAAATTTTGGATTATGTGTGTTACGAGCACTTTGTCTACTCACTTGTTTCGTTGAACTGCTCGAATCCATTTTTGCTATTGATCAAATCGGTGTGGGAAACTATGAAGCTATAAAATGTTGTTTCGGAAGAGTATTGAATATCCGGGAAAGTTGAGTTATTGAATTGTATTGCACCTAACAACGCCTTAATTACGCCTACAACTCCTTTAGGCGTTACCATTTTTTCGGCAATTTTATTAATAGGTATTTAAAATTGTCACAAATGACAATGAATGATTTATAGTTTCAAACTAAAATACTTAAATATTGTGATAAAACCACGATTTGTGGAAAAATAGATCTGATTGTCTAATGTTTTTAGTGTCCTGGCCGGTTAAAAGATGCCCAAATCGTATTTTTATCCATATCTCAATTTTTTTTCAAATAGAACAAGGGTGGTTCATTAGCATATTTGGAAAAAGCATGTTTTACGAATAATTTGGTACCACACACTTGGCATTTCGTGTCAAATTGTCGTTATCAATCGCATGTTGCAATTTAAAAAAAAAACATATTCAAAAATGTCAAAAGTTGACACATGATATGTCATTCTATTCATAGTGTCATTTTCTATCGAATAAAGTAACAAAATTCGGTGAATGAAATTTTCCGGTGAAACAGGAAGTGACCGAAAACAATTGAATACGTCAATCAATCCTAATTTATGTCATATACTAACATACCAAATTTACGATTTTTTATCTGAAGAAATAAAAAAGTTATATGTAGGTGGTGAGCAACTTTTGAGACGCACCCGGTATACAAACCGTATATTTCGAAGGAAGTGTTGACTTTTATTTTATATTTATTTAGTAGTATAATAGTTACATTTGTGTTGTTATTAAATGCATTTTAACAGCATTTAGATGAACAATTTTTATACGACTATATTATATAGGTATACGCCTGCACTATATTTTGTGTATTCTATTCTAGATATAAACTTCGTCCCCGATGTCTAAGGGACGTGTCCAAAAGAGACCTATCCACGACCGTGATGGGACAGAAAGTTTCCATTCCAGTGGGGATTTCACCCACGGCTATGCAAAGAATGGCTCATCCAGAGGGAGAGTGTGCCAATGTGCGAGGTACTATTTGCCATCTCTAAAAATAAATTTCTTATATATTATCATATATTATCATTGTATCATTACTCATAATATATCAGAAATTTTAAATATACTATAATACTCTCTTGGTCTTGATCTGCAGGGTCCAGTCTTGGTCTTACTCTTGCGCAAGACTCTTGCAAGTCTTGATTTTTTTAATAACTGTTTACTTAGTATTCTTTCTGCAAAAAAAATCTTTAAATAAATAGTATTTTTGGTCATTTAATGCAAATAATACTTTAAAGAATGAAATTATTAGAATATTTGTCTGACGAAAATTTCTAATTTCCGTACTATACCGGGTGCGTCTCAAAAGTGGCTCACCCCTATAACTTTTTTATTTTTTCAGTTAAGCAAATGATATTTGGTATGTTAGTATATGCCATAAATTAAAGTTGATTGACGTATTCAATTGTTTTCGGTCACTTCCTGTTTCACCGGAAATGGCTACAACTTTTGATTTTTAAATAGCACCAAACCAAATCAAAAGTTGTAGTCATTTCCGGTGAAACAGGAAGTGGCCAAAAACAATTGAATACGTGAATCAAGCCTAATGCATCCCAAGTAGCATTTTCACGACTTGCGACCACATGTTTACTAAACACAACGTTGGATTAGTTACAAAAAATAGTTAGCTCCCTACCTTCGGTATTAAAATAAATTTAAACGTTTTTATAACGTTGTGCCGACGTTGAACTAGTACTAGAGCAAAGTAGAAGCTTCTGCGACGTCGAATAAACGTTGTCTTCTAACCTTTTTTGCTTAAGTGATCTTTAGGTGATTCGGACAACGTAGTTACAACGTTGGACAATATATAGTTTTCCGACGTCAGTTTCAGGACCTATTCCAACGTTATGCAAACGTCGTTTGTTTTACTAATTTCAACGTTGTTTAGATTTCCTTATTCTTACGTTGGTAGGACGTCGAGTCACTACCTTTTTGCAACTGTATTGAACCATAACCTTAAATCTTAAATTTTCACTTCATTGTTCTGTTCAGTCAGACAGTTCAGTGCTGTTTTTGTTTTTATAAAAAAAACTTAATTAAAATGGGACATAAGAAAGGTACATATAAAACTAAATTTAAATATACATCGCCATATATTACCGATAATTTATCCACTCCCTCGTTTATTTAGATTATAGAGTGCGGCACAAGCTAGACTCTAGGATGACTAAATTAGGCAATCTTGCGACGAGTATACTACCTGTTAAGGCCGAACTGCGACTTTATTAGTCCAGTTTGCGACTACTCGAACTACTCCATCTTAATCTCCAAAACAACAAAGTGAAAGCCGCCATGTTGTTAAATAAGAAAATATTTCGTTCCTAAAATAGCAATTCCTGCTTTTTGAATACATTAACTTGAAATATTTGATCCTAAAAAACACGAGGAAACAATTTTTTCGACTGCGAATAAATTATTCTCATTTTACTAAAAAAAATAAATTCAAGAAAATTTTTAAAACTTTTTTAATTTTAAGGCCCATTAGTGTTTTTCAAAGTAGAAACAATACATTTATCAATAAAGTTGTTTGCGTTTAACTTTTTTGCCTTGGGTAACGAGTTACAGAGTCGGTTAAAGTATATCAATAATTCTGATCTTCAAACATCCTCCACACTTAAATACTTTTATTTTGTTTTCCTTCACTGCCATCTGACATATGTCTCTAACTAAATCATAAAAATAATATTTTTACTATAATTATCCCAATTTAGGATAAAACGCGACTTAGACGCCATATTAGTTTTGTATTTCTGTGAATTAGGATTTTAAACAACGTTGCAGTTTGTACTAAATTAGGCTTCTAGCCAACGTCGGTATACAACGTTGTTTCGACCCAAAAATTATTCTCCAAACTAGTGCAGACTAGGGTTGGCACGAGGTTGTGCCGACGTTGCGCCCCGACGTTTGGTCGCGTGACACAACGTTGTCCCGACGTCCAAATGCTGCTTGGGATGTCATATACAAACACACCAAATCTTATTTTTTTTATCTGAAAAAATAAAAAAGTTATAGGGGGTGTGCCACTTTTGGGTCGCACTCGATATTGAATCAGCTTTCTTTCTTTAAAATGTTTTGCAATAGTCATCGGAAAACACTATTTGTAATAAATCAAAACCATAATTTTGAAGAAATAGTAATTTCTTATATCATATAAACGTGAACATAGTGCAAGACCGCAAGAGATCAAACGCTATCAACGCAATCTTGCAGATCAAACACTAGTAACTTGGCTTTTTGTGCAAGACTGTGTTGTGTGCAAGTGCTGCTCATCACTAATTTAGAATAGAAAATCACAAACAGAAAATCTATTTTTTGTGGAATATTGGGGGTTACCTCGTAATATCAATTGTTAATAATGACATTGAAATTTTCAGCTGCACAAGCTATGGGAACGGTATTTATTTTAAGTACAATAGCTACTAGTAGTGTAGAAGAAGTAGCAGAAGCAGCACCTCAATGCACCAAATGGTTTCAACTCTATATTTATAAAGACAGGTTAATATATTTAGGAATATGCTTATATCAAAATAAATATACGATTTTTTCCAGAGAATTGACAAAAAGTTTGGTAAGGCGAGTTGAAAAAGCTGGCTTCAAAGCATTAGCGTTAACTGTAGATACTCCTATTTTTGGACTTAGATTAGCAGATATGAGGAATAAGTTTCAGTTGCCATCTCATTTAAAGTAAGTAAAATAAATAAAGAAACTTAAATTGATTATATGGAATTATTGCCAGTTAAGGATTGTTTTTTTATTACAAATAGGGAATATCTATATTGGATACCAATTAAACTTTTAGTTAAGTAATCGAAGCCGCGGTTTTTAAATTCATTGTCGCCAACAATTGACATATTCGGCGCGGGCTCACTAACTGGAATATAAATTTCCCGCTGGGGATTCCGTAGCTCTGCTGTAAAAGAACTTGCCAAATTTATTTAATTATTTTTTGACATTGTCATTCGTTTTGACACTTTAATTTTGTATTACGAGTCTTTGGTTTAAATAAATTTGTTGTGATACTTTAAGCGTCTTTTTACTAGCAGACCTTGCGGTCGAACATTGTTCTTTTTAGAACTTTTTTTAGTGCTAAGTGTACAAGATAGCTTAATAGCCGTAAAAAATCATCGCAACTTTATTAGAATATTTTGAACGAGAAAGCGGTAGTAATGACCCTTTATGTCCCTCAAGTACTGTTAAAAAGGTGAGTTTTTTGTTGACTTAAATAATAACTGTTTATATATTTATAATAAATTATAATATATTATAATTTATATTATAATTATAATTATAATATAATTTATTTTTGTTTCCTAAAATATTTTGATTCAAAGAAAATATGTAAGATGGGCAACGCCGTGCCGGTGGAGCTTAATCACGTCACTAAAAATTTATTTAATATGAACTATACAGGCTCCGGCAATATAGTGCGTCGGGCATCTGAGAATAAAAAAATCTGGGAATTTCGTTTAAGTGCAAACCTAAAGTATGTATTAGGACGTATTTCAGGAAAATATTTTAACTTAGGGTGGCTCAAAAATGTGTGAGTGGATCGGGATGATTTTTTTAAATGGAACACCCTGTATCTTATTGTAGTTTTGGCTTCCTTTTAGATCACTTTACACAACCCTAAGATATTAGTAAATATATTTCGATCATTTCAGAGATATTAATAAATAAATAAAAAAAATATTTTTTTCAACCTTTCTTAAAAAAATTATTACAAATACAAGAACTGTCCTGAAATCAAAACTATATTAATTACTTACTTTAGATGGTCTGCACTTACTTTGCTATGAATATGGTAATCGTAAATCATACAGGGTGTTCAAAATTCTACGCCAAACTTTCTAAAATATAAAATAATTTTTCTTCGTTTTTTCAAATGGAACACGCTGTATATTATTTTGTAAATAGATGGAGAATTGAAAAATGAACATTTTTTGTATTTACTATTTATTTAGTATTTTATTTTTGATTTTATTATACATTACTAAATGTTTATCTTAATACATAATAACTTGAACATCACAATACACAAACCATCCAATAACATAAACAACAATGATAACCTATTCCCGAGGTTACTGTTATAAAGAATTCAAGATCACCACGCGGATCCCCGTTAAATTGCGTTTGCAAAAGCGCCCCGTTTCTATTTTTGTTTGAATTTAATTGCTCGTCGAGATAACCCTCTCGTATGCTATTTATTTTTGTGCTATGTTACATAACGAGAACAAATTCATTTGGATTAAAGTGAAATATTGTTAACTTACTATGATTGATTCTAAGATAAGTGTCCACTAATATCTTACTGTGTCCAGTCCTTATTTTGATTCAGTTTGAGACGTGTTTATTTTCTTGTTAAACATTATAAAGTATTAAATAAAAAAATGAATCTACAACATTATAACACTTTTCACGCCAATAAAGAGTGGCCACTCGTGAGTTTGAAAGGAAAAACTAAAAGGAAAAACTATTCCAGTTCCCACTCCATGCAACGGAGCAGCCTTGACACTTGCGGCTTCAAAGGGTCACGCCAGCTTGGACTTCTTGCCCTTCTGGCATGATACAATAAACGAAAGATAAGATCCTTGGCGGTCGCAAATCGGTCCGCGCATGACGTCACCCGGGTAGTAATTTTCTGTTAAGCTCTCCCAACGCTCCCCCAACTACATGCGCAATATCTTATCTTAAAAGATCCTTGGCGGTCGCAATTGGTTCTCCGCGCGCATGACGTCACCAGGGTAGTAATTTTCTCTTAAGGTACGCGCACACTGACCAGAGCCGCACGCGCCGCATCGACCGAAAAGAAATATTGTTTGTGTTACTTTCAATGAAGGTGCGCACACTAGCCAGAGCCGCACGAATCGCATCGACGAAAATGCGGCCAGCATTGTTGGGCCAGAATGATTTTCTGTAAATGCGGCTAGTGCTTCTGACGTCACACGCAATTCTTTCCACTCTACGTAGCGTAGGTAGCCGAAGAGGAGATTAGAAATTCAATATGCTAAGAAAGTTCGCAAATTTTTCATGGCTCATATTGAAATATTGAAAAATTTTTAGTTCATCCTCAATTAAATAATAATGTGGATGTTTGCAAATATTGTGAACCTATAACGTTCGATTCTTTCTCGTGATTTCTTCTTCTTCTATTAGCAAGGAGTTCATAATTATTTCTTGTTCGTTGTCATTAATTGTCGAGAAATATTAAAAAACAAATACGGGTGTAGTAGGGGCAAAAAGAAACAAAATAGCGAATAATGCGGCGCGTTCGGTACGGCTCAGTGTGCGCGACAAGAAAAAAAAGTGCGGTTCGTGCGGCGCATTGCAGCGAGTGCGGCTCCTGTCAATGTGCGCGTACCTTTAAGCTCCGCCCACTACATGTAATATCTTATCTTTGTTCACTGTATCCTTTTGGCTTCTTGCTTCTTAGGGCTCTTCCTTCAGTGATTAAACTTTATTGTTGAGCAAAACTTCGTTAAAACGTCAGCAACATTTAATTTGAGCTAGAAACATTTTCTGGAAATTTTTTTTAAAAAACTGGAAATTGGAAACATACTTAGTATATTTTATGTTTTTTTTATGTTTTATTACTATAAAACGGCCCAGCTACGTCAATCAGTTCCCGTTCAATCACAAATGTTAGACGATATTTTTTACACGAGTGAACATCTCCGTCCTGCTCTTGTTCAAAGGCAAGAGTGAAAAATTGAAACGCATTGCTTATACACTCATATGGGTAAGAGTTTGCTGGAGTAATTTAGAGGCTCGATATTTTCGTATTTACTAAGAGTGGGTTCCAGGTGGGACCCTCCACTGTGGCCGCAATGGCCTATTATGGCTCAGTTGTACAGGATAATCCGATTTTTTATTTGTAGATTCTGCGTAAAATTCCATAACTTGTTTATAATATAACGTTATATAGGTACCTGAAATTAATAGTTTTTGTAATGTTTCAACAAATGTTAAATTTCAGTATGATAAAAAATTGTCAGTAATGTCATTATTTTTGAAGTTGGACAATTAAAATGTGGTAGAAGAATTTTATAGAGATATAGAAAATAAGTAAAAGATATTTAAATACGTAAAGATATTTTTTAGTTAGATGCTACAGGGTGTTCAAAATATATTTATGAATTTCAACTAGATACTTAAAATTAAAAAATCACATTTTTTGAAATGGTACACCCTATATATTATCATTTTTTCTAATATATTTTACAAAATTCCTATTTTTAATAGTTAGCGTTCTAGTATTCATATCAACGACACGTTGTTCCTATTTCCTGGTAAACTGAGCAGTTTCTTACAATGCCGAATCTTCATTGTACGTCCATTTTGTTGCTTTAAACGTTTTCAACTCGGCTTAACTATCCGAAAATATGTTTATTATTTCCCGGCGTATTATCGCTCTTCCAGCAGATGTCCACAGGTTTCAATTTTTGATCCGTCCAAACCAACACATTTTTCAGAATCTCATCCGACTGTAAATCGTCTACATGGGGCACTAGTATGGTGGGAAGCGGTACTTAAAGAGACTAGAAAATGCCTCACAAAAGTACAGCAATTAGTAGCTCTAGGTATAACTGGAGCAAGGAACAACACAGCGCTAGAAGTAATGCAGGACTTGCAATCAATCAACTGGCTCATGAACGATCTAGCTATTAAGGATGCCCTAAGATTAAGTAAATCCAATCTGTGGACCAGACCAACTACGATCACTCGTAATTGCCAATGATATTCGCATTCCAACTAGAGAAGAATGTGAAAGCAACCTAATAATGAATACTCAAGAGATAGCAGTCTACAAAGATGCTTCCGTAACTTCAGGAGGCTTATTCTCAGAGAAACTGGACATTCGGACTCTTTAAGGCTATCGGATGGCTGTAATGTCCTACAAGCAGAGTTTTATGCTATAAGGAAGCGGCGAGTTGTATACGAGGGAAAATCGCTAATAAACCAATAGGAGCTTTAGTGATATAATTTGGCAGTTTGGGCGTTTTAAAAAACATCACCATGCAATCAGGGAGATCGAAAACTGTGATGGACTACCGAAAAGCTGTGTCGTAGCTGCGTCAAGGCGGGGTCACTGTGCTGGGTGCCAGGTCACAACAATATGGTGGGCAACCAAGAAACGGACAGACTCGGCAAAGACGGGGCCAGGTAAAGGCCGTGGTAGATGACCCACCAAGGAACTACCATGAAAGCCAAGTAGCAAGAGACGTGGCAACACCGTGAGAATTGCGCTACAGCTCGTAGACTGTAGCAAGTGGTTGATAGCAAAAAGAAAAAATAACTGCTAGAGCACAAAAAGAACCTAGTACGCATAATTGCAGATGTCGTCCCTGGAAACTGCCCTACGGAGGTAAACTTCGTAAGATGAAAGATTTCCAACGACGATTACTGCAGAGAATGCGGAGAGAAAGAAAAACCATAGAGCACCTGCTGTGCTACTGTCCGGCACTGGAAAACCGACGCTTTAAAACTTTAGGGCACGGTTTTTTGAAGGGACTGGAGGAAGCAGCAGAAACCAACATCAGCGACATCAGTAACTTTGCAAAGAGCTGAAAGTGCTTTAACGTAATGAAAGAATGAGAGGAAGGTTTGGTACAATAATACAGGTGTATCGCAATGGGCCCAATGCCTCCGAGGTCTGAGGGCTCTGAGCGATCAAACAGGATCCCAAAACCAAGCAACCTAACCTAACCTAAATCATCTACTAATCGGTTATGTAGAAACTTGGATGTTCTTTGGCGTATTCGTACCATATTTTAGAGAAGAGGTTATCAAATTTGTTTTTCTCGTAGATCACTTAAGTTGATCCACTAAAATCGACTCTTGAGAACGCGCTTTTTTATTCAGCAATGATCATACACGTTAGTTTCATCACGCGATGACCGTTCATTTTTTTTTCATTCATCGTTTTCATTCTTAAATGATTATATTCGTTTTATAATGATATACTTTCACTTTCCTGAACTTAGCATCAATGAGAGTGTATTAAACTAATGAAAAATTAAAATGTTGCAAGCTGTTCATTGACATGGAACAGTTTTCATCAGTTTTTTTTTCAGTATAGCACAAGGGGCTAAAAATATCTATAGAAAAAATGAAAATATAATGCGTAGTTAACTAATGAATTTACACTTGAATTGTTCCAGATTGGCTAATTTTATCGGCAGTAAGGCCTCAGTGACGAACGAAAAGGGAAAACTGACTGGTTCCGCTATAAACGATTTAGGTAGCTTATTTGACGCGACGCTAGACTGGCGTGACATCGCTTGGCTGAAATCGATAACAAAACTTCCCATTGTCCTCAAAGGTATTCTAACAGCCGAAGATGCCATTATTGCAGCCGATGTCGGCATTGCCGGCATTCTCGTTTCAAATCATGGAGCTCGACAGGTGGACGGAACATCGTCAACGGTAAGATTTACATCATGTTCTGTAATAATTCGAATAATTTATAAACGTAGATTTTACAAACATTATCATTGTGTGTTATAATTTATTTGGAACCACTAAAATATTATTTAAAATGGGAAATTACTTCAAAATGGAAATAGACCCCCTTGGAGATAAGATAAAAGTTGCGGTTTCCGCAAAAGTTTGCGCAATATCTGTTATGATGTCAAACAGCGCTTGTTGCTAGAGAGCTACAACGAAAAAATCTATGGAAACAAAATTTATACTGGACATCAATAAACCTTCATTCAGAACCTCGCAATTAGTGGAATAAATTAGTGGTTTCAATTAGCCTAGAAGTTTGTTCCTCTTATTCCAATGTAAGCATTCAGAACGTCACAATTAGTGGTAGTCATTTTCAATTAGTAGAATAAGTTAACAAACCTTTGACTTTTCCACTAATCTCCATCGGCCAAGAGAAATTGTGGTTAGAAATCAGAGGATTGTTTTATAAGCTAAATATTAGGCTTTCTCTATGGATACAGCCGACTACCGCAAGCTGTTGCTACGATATTCTATTAATTTTAATTGTGATTTTTAGATATTGTGAATGGTCGTAAACGAAAAAGTATAAAGTGTAATTGAAACCACTAATGAATTCCACTAACTGCGAGGTTCTGAATGAAGCTTAAAGAAGAAAATCTCTTTTAAACGAGCCCAAGTTTGTTTAAATCGGCTAACCTACACTAGAGTTGTCCTTATTTAATAAAAGCAAGTACAACCTTCCCCCACACTTTATTTTATGAGATAGAGCAAAATACGAAATAACAAAAAATACAAATTTCCCATTGATTATAATAGTATTATTTGAAATACCTCTTCACCTGTTTTCTGATTGGCCTACACAGATGCCCCCTAGCGGATATTTTTCGAACTTGAAAATAATTTCCAGCGATTTCTCTTGGGAAAAAATCTAATGAGTCAATCACTCATTAGATTTTTTCCCCAAAGTTATACGGTATGCAGTTTCTGAGATACAGCCGGCGTCCATTCTGAGCTTGGCCACCCGGTACATTAAATACGGAAGCAAAGTCATTTGCTTGCCATTTTCCTCAACGATATTTTCTTGTTTTGACTGATCTCGTAAAAAGTTTGTTATTTTTACTCAAAAATAGCGCCTCATATTCCTCATTGATGATTTTAGGAGCATCAGGAGGCACCCTATTGTATTTACCTCATATTTCTACATGTGGGAATCTATGAGATCAAGTAGTATAAAAAACCACCTTAGTAACACTGGGAATATTTTTTTATCAGTGAACGTTCCAAGGGGTCAACCCCAAAGGAAACTACAGGAGAGGCAGCTGGCACTTGCGCGAGACCAGCCTCCAAGCGGCGCACAAGCTACCACCTCCTATAGCAAGGGTCGGGCTCCTACCCAACAAGCGACACAAGGTACCGTTTCGCCTATCCGGCCTCGGTTAACCAGGTGGGCTAGACGATCCGCTGAGATCTTAGTGGAGCAGAAGTACGGAGATACATCCAACAGCTCCACGAAGGACTTGCTCCAGAGAAAGCGAAAGTCAAAGAACTTCTTGAAAAAGGGGAGATTAAAGGTTGATTCTCACTATACCTTCCGTATCAGCTACCTTCCGTTTACATAAAATATTTTATCATGTAAATGATAGGATGAGGACAATGCACACTATCTGTTCCGTTTCTCTTTCGTTCCATATCCTTTCCTTCCACAGATTTTTTTGACGGACGGATTGAAGCGTATCGGAAACAGCATTGTTAAGTTCTTAAATTTGTACCAGCTCTGTGAACATTTTGCTGATATTTATTTATTCTTTCATCTCTTAATTAAATCTATTACCTTTTTCAAAAGATACAAATTTTTAAAATAAAACTTTCGTAATGATATAAATTGTACAATAAAAAGTATAGAACTGATACGGAACGGAAGCATTACGTATAGCGTGAATACAATCAAAAATAGAAAGGATATGGAATGGATATAGAATGGAAGCGGAAGGTATTATAGTGAAAATCAACCTTAAAGGAACCAAGAAACAGCCTGGCGCATCTCCACTAAAGGGCAAGATAGGGAGCGAGAATCTTTCACCTCTGCTCGGGCAAGGGTAGAAAAATGCCAGGATAGAAAGCCGACCAACACCGAGAGGCAAGCATCACCAGCTTTGCTACTATTGCTGGACAAGTGAAAATAGCGGTGCTTGCAAGGATTACCCAGAGGCTGCAGTGACTACCGACCAGCAAACCTCCCTAAGAGAGGCGGTACTGGACGAAGTAGTAGCGAGCGGATTGCAACACAACGATCCACAAAAGCTGCAATAGCTGCAATTTGCAGGGATACACTTTTGGGTGGGCATACGCCTCTTAGATTGTGCATCTCAAGATTGGTTGGTTCAAACGGCATCAAACCAAACAAAACCTATACTTAAGAATTGACAGGGGCCGGGACTGGTTGCATTGAACATTGAAAATGTCCCTAAACATTCCATCTGCCGAAAAGCAAAAAGAAAGACACCACCTACCTGCTGACCGTTATCCAGGCTGAGAACTTCAATGTAAGGACATCAAGTTGGCGAGTCATCAACTCGAGGGAGGAGGCTCACAGTCAGGTCCTCACAATAGGAATTAAATAAAAACCTCAAATCCAAGGAGGCAATAGAGAAAGAAAGATATATCCTCTATTATATTACAGTTGGGGGGTTGCAACCTTTGGTGTTACACAGCAAAATAAAACACTAAATCACCACAATACACCAAAACAGTTTTTAAACTAAACTAATATCTACAATTTCAAACATTATCTACAATTCAAACAAGCTCCACGACTGTGAAGGACATTGACGGCCAAATCCCAACCGTGGAAGGCTATATACCTCGTAGGAGGTAGATGTCCACTCCTCGGATGAAGAATATCTGTCCTCAGAGGATGGGTCCCCCTACCACAGGAAAATCCTCATCTATAATGAGTTATAACTCAAGAAGACACAATAGATCTTTAAGTGCGCAGTCATTAACCCCCCTTTCACTTATTCTGCATTCTACCCAAATATTTTCTTATGTTTTATGATTAGGAGGTAATCCACGCAATAGTTTTACTACTAAGCCACTTATTACGCTTTTTTTAAGCTGCTTTAATATTATGTAATGGAATGAAAACTAAATGAATCTCATTTCGAAAAAAAGACAACTGATTAATAATAATTAATTAACCAAACTTACTGTATAAAACATCTTTTTGTAGATTGAAGCCCTAGATGAGATATCTAAAGCAGTTGGAGATAGAGTAGAAATATATTTGGATGGTGGTGTTACAGATGGCACAGACATATTCAAAGCTTTAGCATTAGGTGCTAAAATGGTTTTCGTTGGAAGGCCCGCTCTTTGGGGTTTGGCTTATGGTGGTGAGGAAGGAGTGAAGAAAGTTTTGGGTATACTTAAAACGGAATTCGATTATACCTTAGCTCTTACAGGTATATTACCACAAACTCTTTTATAAAGTATAATCTACTTAGTCTTTTTTTCAGGTTGTGCTAGTATTGGGGACATTAAAAGGAACATGGTTGTACATGAATCGTATTACTCAAGACTTTAACTACAATTACTATAAAACTTGTAGTGAATCTTTGAATAAATGCCCTACACTATTCTATTTAGAATTTAATTGATTACTTACTATGTTTCTGAAAAAAAATAATCATGCTATGTAATCACCGGTATTATGCTGCCCATCATGTTTGCTGTTAAAAGAGGAGTATTTTTGCAGCAGAACTTAGATCCGTTTGCGTCCTTTCTTCTAACCCTCTACGGCATTGAAGTTTTAGCCTTCAAGACCTATTTTTTGCGAGGGGGAAAATCTTGCATAAGACACCCATAATTATTTGTTGGCGTCAGCGGGTAGTTTCGGATTCCTACCAACTAAAAAACCGTGCTCTTCTCACCGGATCCGCTCGGGCATCAGTGAGAAGGGTGCTTAGGCGTTTGCGCGTCTTATATATCTCTCCTTATTCCCCAGTATCTGTCGAATGCAGTTGTACCAGTTGTACTCCACTGCCCACGTACTTTCGTTGTCCAAAAGGCCTGCCATGTTTTTACATTGAATGAAAAAAAAGCGCGTCTATATTCCTCCCATTTAGAACATTTAAAAAGGCTGTGTTCTACATCAACTTTAGTACAATATAAGCATTCGTCTGTTGTAGAGAGAGTTCTTTCATAGAGATATCTTCGAAAGCATCCATGTCCCGATAATGCTTGACTGAGGTAGTAATATACGTCTGCACTGCTTCTCTGTAGCCATGGCTGAATTTTAGGTATAAGGTTGTAAATCCACCTACCAGATTTTTCTTGCATGAAATTTTCAGCTCGTTCTTCTACTAAGAGGGTAATAGGGGGGAATGCTAGATATTACATTCAACGTGTCTGAGGCATGTATTAGACACTTTTAGATTCACCTTTCGATGGAAACTCTTTTTTTTTTACACGTTACTTTGGACATAACGTGTCACACGAGGGTGCCGTATAGCAATTGTGAATGTATCACGCTTCCCAATACTCTTCTTTTTAATGCTTTTGGGCCGCCCAATCTATGCATCAGTTTACTCAGAGCTATAAACGTTTTGTCTGTTTTGGCAATAGCCTTGTTTATATGTTCAACAAAGGTTAATTTTGAATCTAACCATATCCCGAGCCCTCAAGACCTGCCTCCTTTAGAAAGAATTACTCTTCGATTCCAGATATTGTGATATTGCCACACAGACATGTTAGAGTGGATTTACATTCATCCATAATACGTCGTCCGTCGTTGATTTTATACAAGTTTATTGGTTTATTTCAAAAATGGCAGCTCTTACTTAAATATCATTGGAATAACGGAACGACAGACGACGCGTTACGGGTGCATATAAACTTATCCTAAGTCTGCTGCTACGAATTAGTGCGGAGTATTCACAGACTACTTGTATTGTCGATCCTTCTAGTGTCTTGAGAAGGCACCTATAATGACCCTAACATTGCTTCTAATTATTTTTAGAAGTTTTCTAGCCTCATTTTTAGTTGTCGGAGACCAAGACTATTTATTAGTAGAGATGAGCAAAACTATGATTCTCCAATCGCAATTGAAACTGTGATTGCGATTTTTAAATCTCAGCGACTGTAACCTGCGATTGCGATTTTAATATTTACCAAACCAAATTATTCGTAAACAATGCTTTTTCTAAAAAATATACCAATGAACCATCCTCGTTTCATTTGAAAAAATTGAGGTATGATTAAAAATACGATTTAGACATCTTTTAACTAGCCAGTACAAGACGCGAAAAACAATAAACGATCAAATCTATTTTCCAAGGCATCTTGATTAAAATTGCTGTTTTTGCATAAATATATAGTTTTATTAAATAAAATACGATATAGCTTCAAAAAGTATCAAAATAAATGTAAAAAATGAATGTTTTTTTACATTTATTGAAACAACAAAAAATTTGCCTTTTTAACAGTATAGCAAGTTTTGTTTATATCTTTGTTGATGCGTCGTTGAGTTTTGTGAACTATCCGTTGTTGCGTCGATGGGAGGATGCACGCATAGTGAATATGATGCGGTACGTCACCCCATACTCATTATGCGTTAATGCGGTTCGTCGATGCGAGTCATTACACCCGAATTTTCTGGGCGCCACGGGTAAATAGTGAAAGGTTAGTCAGTATATATATCATCGATAATTCTAGTTCAGGGATAAACAAATATTTGGTGTTGAAGCAACAAGGAGGTGAAATGCACGTTAAAAGATGCTCAGCCTGCAGAACGAGTGGTACCACTTCTGTCAGGTCAGTCCGGAAAACGTCACAACAAAGATGTGACTTCCAAAAAGTTGAATACCCGACAGGAAAGCAAACAACTTGAAAGAAAGGAATTTGGATATGAACAAGAGGAATTGTTCAAGAAACAGTTGAAATCTACCCCGACGAACTACAGAAATTTTGCCCCAGGTGGCGTCCCCATGTTCTGGATATCACTGCTGATTAACGATATTTGGATTAATCTGCACATAGCCTTAATTCTTGAATTTCCTTTTACACCACTGCTGCTCCTTATAAATTATGTTGGGATTCGACTACTGTATCTTGCGTTAATATAGTTTGCTAATGCTCCTCGTCGAGTATTGGTAAAAGTCTATTAATCTTGCCAATACAAGATGCACCACTTTTCCACAGAATTATATACTGCGATTACTCTGGGCTGTGGTATTTTTAGCATTCGTTTTGCTTAACACATTTCTTGAGGTTGTTAAAGCCGTAAAAAAACTTTTTTTTTAAATCCCGCCCAACTCAAAAAAAAAATTATCTTTAATATTTAGGTTTTTTTGTCTGATCCATGTCTGATTAATGTTGTTTTAAGCAAGTGAAGTTTTCTAATGACCACTCTCAATATTTGGAGAATCGATTAATCAGACTGGGAAACTCTTCTTCTTAGTCTTGAGTAAATGGTACCTCCAGAACCTCTTAATTTACCAGCCAGAGAATTATGTATTCATTTTTTTATTGGTACTTTAGGCTTCAGGCAGCGATTTTTTGTTTAACAGTGTGGAGCATCATGTCATGCAGAATATAGTTGTGGATGCCTTTTGGAATTTTGAATATAGATTTAATAGATTTACTCTGAAACTTTTTATAGGATTTCCATGTTACTATTACTTGTTGTTCCTCAAAGTTCTATTTCGTATGTCCAAACTGACTCTAAAATCGTTTTTTAGACCATTATTTTACTTTCGTTTGTTAATTGAGAATTTTTACTAATCAGCCAATACATGGAACGAAGTTTTGCGTCCAGTGCTTTTCTTTTTCTCCAGTATGTTTCTGCCAGGTCAGCCTTCTATCCAGATGCATTCTTAATATTTTACCGTAACTTCTGGTTGAATTTGGTCTCCGTTTTAGTGTGATTGGTGGGCAATCACCTTTTCGTAGTGTAAAAGTAACGTTGGCTGATTTGCTTTAGAGGTTTGTAGTTGCGATTGCTGGGATGGGGCATTTATTAACATTATTGCAGTATCGTCGGCATACGTGGAAATCAAAGTTTTGTCATCAACGGGGATGTCGGTAGTAAAATGAGATACAGCACGAGCCCTAAAATGTTTCCCTGGTGTTTCCTGATCTGATTTTAAACAAACCCTATGTCGCATTGTTTAACTGCAAAACGTCTTTTCTTTAAGTAGCTGTTCTGGCTAAGGTAGAAGGAATGAGTTAAAAATAGGATACTGAGAAGGGAAATTCAAAACAATAAGCCTACGCGTTGACATAAATTAATACGTAATTGACGTAATTTTTAGTCGGTCGACTATCAAGTTGCAAAAGTGAGAACAATACATACTTATGGAGCCGATCGACCGACTAGTTGATTGCATGTGAGCGTGGCTCCTTAAGGATGTATCGGTTACAAATATGCAACTAAATAGTCGGTTAGCCTAAGCAATGCAATCAAATATTGGGCCGATTGGCTCAATAAGAATGTATTATTTTCACTTTTGCAACTAAATAGTCGGCCGACTAAAAATTACATGTCAGTGCGTACCCTAATTATCTTTAAAAAACTCACAAGGGAAAGGCAGAAAAATGCATGCTTCATTTAGAAATGTGTAATTATTACATTTATTCCAAATATGGATATTCCTTGTCCTTTAAAATAGTAAAGATCTGCCTCTGTTGTTATTTGGCCTGCTGTTATTATTAGTTATCATATACATACAGGGTGACAATTTGAAAACTAACAGTATTTTTTAATATTATCTCTACCGATGATAGTATGAAAATTTGGCGAAATACATCAATTTACATATCAAGGGGGACAATTTTTGAGGCATTTGTTGTCATGTTACTTTCAACCCTTTGACCCGCAGGACACCTACCCCTAAAATTTTAAATGGCAACCCCTATTTCTCTTACCATTTTTGTGTTCCTTATAAAATTCTCAAAAAAATAATGCAGTTTATGTAGAATTCTATAAGACATACAAAAATGGTAAAAGAAATAGGACTTGCTATTTAAAATTTAGGGGTAGGTGCCCTGGGGGTCAAGGGGTTGAAAGTAACATGATAACAAATGCCTCAAAAATTGTCCCCTTTGATATGTAAATTGACGTGTTTCGCCAAATTTTCATACTAGTCATCGGTAGAGGCAATATTAAATACTGTTCGTTTTCAAATTGTCACCCTGTATATTGTTAGGTATAATAGGAGCTGCTATAAACTCTTGGCTCCAAATTATAAATGCGTCAACAACGTGTGATATTTTATTTCCTAAATACGTCTGACGTCTGAATACAATAAGAAACATTAAAAATGTTTCAGTTGAGTGATCTTCCAGATAGTATTCCACTTTCTTGCTTTTATAAACTTGAACACTTTTTACACAAAAATACGTACCTAAACAACATACTACGTTGTATATTTTCTCTCTAAATCTCTATAGTTTTAATTACCTTTTGACCTTTTTTATTACTAGACTGCTACGCCTCCACATCACATATTCATAATCATAATATTACCTGTTGCCTAAGCCTGTAAACAAAACTTAATAATTATTTTGATCAGCACTGAGTAAACTGTATAGTTATATATTTCTAATTACGGTAACATTTATTATGAAATAACTGAAAACTTGTAACTGCAAATATCTACAGTGTTAAAAAACAAGAACTTAAATGCACTTCTTAAGAACTGCCGATCATCGTCAGTATCTCAGTGATGCCCCACCACATCTCGAACAAGCTCTTTCCGCCAACCGTCGGTTCGACTCGTGCGGTATTGCCAGTTCACCTCCGACTGCGGTGTGCGGTAGTGTTCCCAACATTTTGGGCGTGTATATAAGCGTCGCCGCTATTTCAAACTAGTTTTCGGAAAATCGTCGATTTGTGTCCGTTTGCAACAAATTCCTACCTCCACGACGGATATAATGGTGAGTTTTCTATGCAGTGACACGGTCATTTCGTCGTTTATCGTTTTGTACGTGTAATAACACGGCAAAACACAAGATCAATGACCATTGGGTGGGTTTACAAATCGGGTTTCGGCGCTTAGTTACGACTCACGACCTATTTTCCGTCTTTGTCGGCGACGTCGTCATGAATGGAGCGAATACAGGCCGTCCTTCGCGTTCGGCCTCTCCGCTCCGGATATGTTTTTTTCTTCTACACGACTGTTGATTAGAATGCAGCCTTGTCTGTTGTGCTCTGATTTAATTAACGTGAAATCGGGGAGGGAAATGCGAGACTGGCTATAGGAAACCCACGCGCCTATAAATTAAAAAGAAACAATGCTTAGGAATATTTTTTACCTCAGTGTCCTACTTAGATGTATTAGATGAGACCATCAATTAAAAATGCATCTCGAATTGGATATATAAACATAATTAAATTAATATTTATACCAACTATGTTATTCTGAATGATCAAAATGAGGACTGGCAAAATATCCATTTAAATGGTTCTTCTTCGTTTGTAATTTTTAAGAAAAAATTATATACACACATTATGTCTACAATATTCTTTTTCAATTCAACATTACGAGTAGTGTTGTATTTGTCAGGATTTGGAACCAAGGAAATACCCATATCTTGTTTACGAACAAATTTGAATTGTTCATTTTCTTATTTAACAGATATTACCAAGGTAAAATAGAGAAGAACGGAAAAGATTTTCAAACCACTACTCTTTTGCCAAGGATCACTAAGCAAGCAGAAACTGTAAAATTGGACAAGAAAGCCAATTAGGATTGTTTGATTTTTTTTAAATCGTTCTATTGTATTGTTTATTACGTTACCAATAAAATTTGACACTTCCAATTATTTTGATTTAATTGTTACAAACTCAAAAGTTTTTTTTCAAAAGGTTATTAATTTTTGTGATACTCTGACTCTAGAATCTAGAACTTTTGTAATTTACTCTAGAACCCTAAATTTTGAGAAAATAGAGTTAATAGTAATACTGAGAGTAATACCAAAGACGAAGGAATATCTACTAATCTTTGGTAATAATATTGAATTCGAGATTAAAGTTATTAAGAATTTTTATTCATTATATTTAGTGCTATCCGCGTCGGAAACATAGAAAACCCCATGCAACTATCCAAAGATTGGCTCTTCTGTTGATTTTTTAGCGAAGTCGTAAATAGATTTATTAAAGCATATGCTGAATACACATTTCAAATTTGAACAATTTTGGACAAATGTTGCTGAATTAATTTAACAAAACTGCATTTAAGTTTAAATTAAAACTGAAGGTAACTGCAAAACCAGGCGAATGTTAAACATACTTAAAGTTGTCAACATACATGATTGAATGCAATTTGTTATGCTGTCTACGCTACTATATGTTATAGTACCTACAGATAGAGTGCCTGATTTTTGTAATTTAAAACTTGTTCAAATTAGACAAAAGACTAAGGTTTAGGAAATATAATTTGACATTAACAAAATTATTGACAAATTCTGGTATGTTGGCATTTATTTAAATAAATAAATAAATTACTTTATTCTTAAAAATTTTTACAATTTGTAGACAAAGGTAAAGTAAACAAACTAAAGAGAATACAAAACAAGTATACAAATTACATTGTCAGTCTTATTGTTTAAAATAATATTCAACCAAACATATTTAGTAAGTTTATAATTAATATAGTAATAGCAAATATTGGACCAGTGTTTACAATTACAAGATCAAATTCGATTATCAAAATATAAATCATTTACGGCGTAGAAAGCCTCGTCTAGTAAATAACATTTCAATGCTTTGCGAAATAAAGAAAATGATGTTATGGATTTGATTTCAAATGGCAGGTGATTTTTGCGAGTTGTATAATATTGAACTTTTAACTAACTCTGAGCGTGGGGTAGGTAGATAAAGATCTTGCTCCGCGTTCCTGAGTGGATAAATGTGAGATGGTCTTTCTTGAGAAGCTGATACATGCTTACGTATTAGGCAAACGGATTCAAATATAAATAAGGAAGGAAGAGTTAATATTTTTAATTTTTTAAGTTCTGGCAATGAGTTCTGCTGTTTAGTCCCAGTGAATATCGGACAGCTCTCTTCTGGAGCTTGAAAATGCAGTCAAATTGAGTCGCACAACACGTACCCCAGAATGGAAGGGCATATCTATCGCAAAAAAACTTTAAACCGCTCTCCTCAAAAAATTAGTTTTAGTAGAGTAAATTAGTTTTAGTAAAGTTACGCCACTTCGTGATACTGACAACGATATTTTTTTTAGCATACCTAGACCTTTAAAAAACCTTCTTCGCTGTAAAATCAATAGGGAAGCCAATATTTGGATAGTTCAAAATTTGCATGGGATTTCCTATGTTTCCAATGCTGATGCACAACCCAGTATATAGTATACTAGATAACATCAAAGCAAATAAGCAAAAGTTAATATTTATGTTTACATTATTTGTTTATTATTAGAACATCGAATGGATCTAGAGATGTTGGAAAGTTGGAAGGAAAATCGATTAAAATATTTATTTTGAAATGGAATTCTTTTGTCTTCCAAAGTAAGCGTGTTGTTAAATTTCTGCAAAGAAACTGAATATGTTAAAATACACCATCATGGTAACACAATACACCATACCTATTAAAAATCAAATTGAACGTGTCCAAGGCTTCATACTGCCAAACAATAGTATCAAACGTGATTTTCTTAAATGTAATAATTTTATAAACTTTAAACATTGTCTGGTTCAGGTCAATTTGCCCATTCAAAGTGGTACCATCTGTCTGTATTTTTATGTTCGTATATTTGAATGAAATCTGTTGAATTATACACATGCAGTAAGAACTTCAATGCACTTGACATCGAGGATTTATGGTCTGTTTCGAAGAAGCCATTCGCGAAATTAAAATTTGTTTCATTTTTATTGAGCGTTGGAAAAACGCAGGGTCGTTGTAATTAAAGAAACAATAATACTTTCTTAATAGCAACATGAATTTATTTTCAAATGTTATATTTTAGTCAAACGTAGAAAGAAACTCGGTTAAAAATGTTTGAGACGGATTTTATGTTTTTCTTATTACAAAAATGAGCTATGATTCTTATAATTGCTGGTTAGGTTTAGATTATGGACGAATTTTAGTAAATTATGAAATGAAAAATCAAATCATGATCGAAACTGTCGTAATTGTTTGTCTGTTGTCTGTTAAAATAAACAAGTAGGTACATATTGCAATAAAACTTGTTTATAAATCTGTGGCGGACTCATATCTTCAAAAAAGTCCCATGGATATTTCCCCACTGTAAGAAAATCTACAAAATAAAATAGTTATTTTTTGTAAACACTGCTGCGTTAATCGAACAGACACCAGCTTGTCAGCAGTGATTTACTAATAAACAAATTTGCCTAACGGACAAAAAAATGCTTAACGTTTCGGGAAGAATATCTGTTTCCGTCGTCGGAAGCAAAAAAAACTTAAAGAACAAAGAAAAAAACTATTTAAAATATCTAAATACAACTATTCAAGAGCACTTCAGTTTTTTTCAACAGGTACGTATAAAAACCGTTTGTCTTCTGTTAAAATGACATATCAAGTTAAACTTCAAAATTAATAATTACTTAATGAGGTAAAACCATAAAGCCTCCAACTTTCTGTATGATTTTTTAATTTGTTTTTTTTTTTAATTTTTATGTTCATTAAAATCAAAGAAGCGATTGTCATACATTACTAACCTCTACAGATGCCTGAGCAACACATTTATTTTTATTAGACCGTTTTAAAAAACCTCTTTTATTTTTCGTTTAGAGGCTATCGCTTCTTTCATATTAATTTTTGCATTGGTAAAATCTACTCTGTGCCTTGTGTCCCATGAATGCTGACAAATCTTAGATTTGTGAAAATCGCCCTTTCTTAAAGAATCTAGTAGTTTGTTCTTTAATTCGAACATTTAAGGGTCAATATGTTTCACCAATGTAAATTTTATCACATTCACTGGTATTTTGTATATTACATTTTTTGTTTGTCTTGTGTTAATTGGTTTAGTGTGGGTTAAAATGGATCTAAGTTGATTGTGTGTTTGAAGGATGTTCGTATGCTATATTGTTTTCCTATTCTTCTAATTTTTTATCTGCATATTGCAATGTATCACAAATGTTTCACTTGTACACTGGTTGGTGTTAATTGTTTTATCCTCGGTTTTATCCAATATATCTTGAAAATCTATAGTATTTCTTTTTATATGTATATCGAGTCTTTCTGTACACATACACAAGTACTTTGATCTCGACTTTGATACATTTGATATCGATGATTTATGGTTTGTTTCGAAAAAGCCACGTGCAAAGCTAAAATTTTCTTCATTTTTATTAGACGGTGGAAAACGCAGGGTCATTGTAATTAAAAGAACAATAATATCTTGTTAATAACAACATGAATTTATTTTCAAGAGATACTTTAGCCAAATGAAATTATTAAAATAGGTATATGATATCCAGGTTGTTGAAGAAAAAACCCAGCTGATATTTTTATATGAGATGAGATGAACTTGTTGGTCTTTTTGTTTCAAAATGTATAAGAAATATGACTTTTATTAAATGATGTATGATCCTTAGATGAGTAAATTATCAATCAATCAAAAATCAAATCATAACCGTATGTATTTATTATAGTTCCTTGATAAAACAGATATTTTTTTTAAATAAATTGATTATATTAAAATAAAACTAATAACTATTGCATCGTAACAGAAATCATTATATTTGTTTAAGGTAAATGGAATTAGGGTACCAGCTGGTTTTGTAGTTTTAAAACCTCTAAACGTGATTTTTTTAAATATACTCTTTTATAAAACTTCAGTGTCTAAGGCAGGTCAATCTGCTTGATGTAAAGGGGCAACATCTGTGTTATTTTTATGTTTGTATATTTTACGGCATTCTGCTGCATTCAGTTTCTGGGACTTTCTAGACACATGCAG